TTGGGCAGTGGTTCTGTGGACCAGCAGCATCAGCACCACACCTGGGAACTTGTTGGAAAGGCCCATTCTTGGGCTTCTTCCCAGACACACTGAGTCAGAAACTCTGGGGGTGGGGCCCAGCAATCTGTGTTGTCACAGCTCCCTGGGGGATTATGATGTGAGTTCAAGTTTGAGGACTACAAGTTCCTAAGATACAATCTGCCTCACAAGATACACAGGAAATGGCTATGCTTCCCAAAGAGATTTAGTCCTTCGTGCCTTAAGCCATCTACATAACGTATTACCTTCTCTCCTGTGCATCTATGATGGTACTGATACACACTGTCCTCAGGAAAATTAGGAAAAGCATAATTCAAGTGTTTTTCTGTGTTCTGTGATCGAATTCCCAATGCCAGCGTCCTCGCTGGCCACAAAGCACTAAGCCAGTCAGTTACAGCAGTACCCATGTCCTAGAACCAATTTCTATACCAATAAAGAAAACCTGAGTTATGCTGTGGTAACAAATCACTGGCAGACTTCCCCAGCTTAACATGACAAAGGGTTATTTCTTGCTCCTCATACACTTGTAACACAAATCAGCAAGGGAACTCGACTCCACAGTCCCTCAGGAACCCAGGCTGGCGGAACGGCCATCTCAGCACTTGCTTCCATGAGCAACATGATGGTGAACTGCACACTGGCTTTTAAAGCTCTCACCTGGAATTGACTCATGTCATGTGCACTGATGTTTCCTTGACAAAGGAAGTCCCATGGCCAAGCCTAACTTCAAAAGTAGGCGGGTAAAGCCCCGGGCAGGTAGCTTACTTGGTTAGTGTTGTCCCAATACACCAAGGTGGCAGATTTGCCTCTGGTCAGTGTGCATGTAAGAAGCAACCAATGAATACATAAGTGGAACAAGAAATTGATGTTTCCCTCTCTCAAATCAATAAATAAAAAATTAAAAAGTAAGCAGGTAGTACCCAGAAAAAGAATCAGAGTACCTGAGAACAGCCTGAATGACTACTATCAAGGTTGGACATGGGCCACAACAGCCATTGTAGGCAAAGCTGTATATTAACAGTAAAGAAATGGCAAGGCCAACACTTCTCAGTTTAATATTCACTATCTTTTTGTTCCCATTGACTTTCAAATAAACAAAATCTACACCTTCCTCCCTAGGTCTTTTTGGACCAAACGTTTTCATTTTTTATATGAAAAAAAGTTAATATACACACAGGAAAATGCACAAATCCTGAGTATAGAGTCCAATGAATCACCACAACATGAACACAACAGCAGAGCTACCTCTGGCTAAGAAACAGATCATTACCAGGCACTCAGCAGCCCCTCTCAGGCTCCTTCCCAGTCATCTCCTCCCCTTTTCCTAATGGTACTTCCAACACCATACTTCGATTACTGTTTTACAATCATTCATTCAACTATTATGTATCAGCCAGGCACCAGAGCTTCCCGGTCCTGGCAGGTGGTGGTACAAACCTAAGCACAATAGCTGATCTTAGTGAGCTTCCTGTAGGAAGACTGGCTTTTTAGGGGGAGTGGGAGAAACACATTTAGATAGGAATGTGTTGTGAGCTCTCTGAACTCTCAGGGACACAACCAAATGAATGAATATTGTCTTTAATATCTGTTTACTTAAGCACATTCAGTATTTCATAACAGAGCAGGTGGGATCATGGCCAGAATCTCTTTGCTGCTTGGCATGACAAGTAAGTGGCCCGCCCAGCTGCCACTTGGTCTCCTACAGCCAGCTTTCGCGCAGTGCTGAGCTGATGCCACGGGCGGCAAGGCACCTCCTGCCCATCGGCAGCTCAGGTATTTCTCTTTCTTCCCTTCATAAAGCCACGCCCTTTCCGGTGGGTCTAGGGCTGGGTTAACTGGATCTTTCTGGGCCCGGGAATGAGGAACAAGTATACAATTTTTGTTGGCCCAAATACAAGACTGGCATTTGGTTTTTGGAATATTCCTATGCAGCTTCCATGATCTGAAAATCAGGCGTCCGGTCTCCATTTTCTTGCCTATTAAATGATCAAAGGTCTTCATGGAGAGGCAGTGGGCGCCTGGTTTCCTAAATGCTAGCTCCTCCCCAAAGGTCCTCAAAACCAGACACATCTGTACAGGCACACAACCATAAAACATGGGTCTTTTGCTTTCCAATTTCTCTACAAAATCTCTGCCAGAACTCAGGACATACGTCTTGGGACATCATTAGAAATGCTGACCAATTCCATCTTTCACACTTGAAGAGCTGACTGTGACTTCCCATTCCTTCCCCACAGGAATTGGCCAGTGACTTTGGCAGGGAGTGTGAGTGTGAGCAGCTCTGGGACACTGTGGCCAACGATTCAGCCACATCCTTTTGTGGTGACCGTCTTCAGCAAGATGTACTTTACATATATTTTTACAATCAGCTGGTTTCTAAATTACAGCCATGCTAAATCAGAACAGAGTTAACATATGATTAGTAATTCTTTATGGCACAAAGTAGAATTAGATAGTCCCTGGTTAAGGCCAAAGTTTTAAAAAAAATTGTGCTCTCAGTAAAAAAAGAAAATAGAAAACTGTCTTTATTCCAAAGCCAAAGCAACGGGTCACGGCCTTCTTCCTGCGCAGGAACAGTCCTGCTCCACAAGGACACAGGGAAGGGAAAGATCGACTTAGGACAACACTCCCAGAGCTGCCTGCCTACTCTGCCACTGTCACCCATGTGCAGGGCTGCCCCCACCTCCCTTCCCCATAAACACAGGAACGTGAATCGGAGTAGCCAGGTTCCTGGGCTTCTAGAAGTGACTTCTCTAGGAGATGCAGAAATGCCACTGAGCATGGATAAACACCACTCAGAGACTATGCTGGCTCCTTAGGCATCCAAGATAAAACACTAAACATAATGTTTCTTTTTTGTTACAGCCCTCCCTACCCCGCTTACCTTGTTTAAAAAATAATATGTAAGGGTAAAGGGTCATAATTTAGGAGTAATGCAATTCTCAGGGTGGACTGAAGGTCACACTACGAAACGCCAGGGATGCTCCTCAACTACGCAGAGCCCCAGACCTGAAGAACCAGAATCTGCAGGGTGGGGCCCAGAATGTGCATTTTCACCAGCTCTCTCAGAAAATTCTATGCCTGCTGTGAAGGGGGAAGCTCACACAGAGTACCACAAAAATAAAGATACCTCTGCTTGCAGCTGGGCTTCACTTCAAAAGGACCCATGAGCATTTAAAGAAAATTATGGCTACTCTGCTCATTATTTCCCGTGAGGAGAAAATTCCGTTTTCCTACTTGATTCTGTCCGCAAGCATTATCAGCTATCTGCAGTATTTGAGTGTTACATAAGTCAGGGCTAAAGTTATTTTCATTGGAGAATTGGAAAATTACAGGTAGGGACCCAACATGGCATTTATTTGGGCGACTAGAAAGGGAAAGTGTGTTCTGGGTAACTTTCTGCAGAAGCAAGGCCCTCCGCTGTGGGAAGAATGGGCTTTATTCCATGTGGCCTCACGGCAGGACAAGCTGTCAGTTTTTGTTTGTTAACATTAAAGTCTCTGAGTTCCCATTGCTCTATTCCTTTCGTCTTGGGGTGGAGTCTGACCTTTAGCTTCTTAGTTTCCAGGGCTAGAGTGTCTGGAAAGCTGACTCTCTGTCACCTAGAGTTTTAGGCTTCTTTTCACTGAAGCTAGAAAATAAAATCAGGAGCCTTCAGCCCTCTGCAGGTGTCTCTTGGGGACCTTGCCTAAGTGTCCCACAACAAATGGATTTGTGCCTCAAAAAGATCACGGCTGTGCCATGGGGAGAATCAGGCTGGTCTATACAGTGTGCCACAATCCCAAGATAAGAACACCTGACGTACCCAGTGTTAGTAAAGCAAGTAAGGCACAAGGCAGCATCTGTCATCCAGGAGTTAGATGCACACTGAATAAGACCTCACTCCGTGATGAAACAAACAACTCATTTTCTTGTGCAAAATTTAGCACAAGGAATCTGAAATACAGCACACAGATGTAGGAATTTGTTTTCTTCAGCACCGACAATATCACCTTCCTTGCTCAAGTGGACCAAAAAAAATTCCCAAACCACAAACCACCTCAGGATACAGGCCTACTTGCTCAAAAGGCATGTGATGCCATTAAGGGGCAGAAAACTACCTGTCCCACTTTTCTTTAAACACAAACACTCTTCTGCTTAAATTTATTGGAAGAGGACGGCTCCTCCTCCCCAGAGGCCTGCGTGTGAACTGAGAGAGTGTCTGTTACTGCCCCGAGACGGCCTGAATGGCCAGCAATGCTTTCCACGGAGCAAACAAAATTTCTCTCTACAAGATGCAAACGTCTGAGCTCCCGAACAGGCTTTCTGCTGCAAGCACTGTGATGGCACACACCTGCTGGGAAATCTAGCCTCTGGACTTTTCTTGAGCTCGGTAATGAATAAATGGAAGGAAGGAAGGACAGGAAGAAAAGAAAAGGAGGAAAGGTTTAAGAAAAGCCTGTGATATTTTCCATTGCACCTGACTCTCACAAATGAGCCGGGTTACAAAATCTACTACCAGCAACTCTCACACCCAGTGTGCAATGTGGCCACCATGTTTCTTCATTTTAATGAGATGGACTTGATCCCCTTTACTTTTTAAAAAGGACTTGAAAATGGGCTGTTGGGCGAATGGCAGTCTGAAATAAAAGGTCTGTCTAGCTCCATCTCTCCTTTCTCATCGTTACGGGTTTCAACCAGTTGCGCTCAAAATTAGAATCAAGGTCTAGTGCTGCTGCACGTGAGAAGAGTTAACTCACTGGCTCCCCATGGAGATTACCTGTCTGATGTACTGTTTACCTATTTAGGTCTTAAATTTCAGGCTCGTGACATGCAACCTGAGTAACGAGCAGCGCTGTGGTGCTCTCAGAAGATGCCTTCTCTTGCCGGAGTGCAGGACCGGCGGACCGGGCACTGAGCCTCCCTGCACAATCCACCCGTCAGCTTGTCAGCTGCTGCTGTAAGACAGTAGGGTCGGGGCAGAGGGCTGTCAGAGATGAAGCAGGGGCAAGCAAAGAGCTTAATAAAATTTTATTTTGAAAATATGGCAAGAATCTAAGGCACTTCAAACATTTAAATACATATAAGACCAAAATAAATGTGACATGGTGTGAAGGAATCCATAAATATGTGGAGAACTACACTGTTTCTCTAGAGGGAAATATATAGCCAATTCCTCTAACACAATTCAACCTTTGTCATTAGATATAGAGCTGTGCAATTATTAATAAAAATATGGTACTGTTACATGTAGTTCTTCATGTCTTTTATTACCATGGAATATAAAAGTTGAAAATACTGTGTCGATTTTATATAGATACCTTTTATATAAAGTCATATAATACATCCACCCAGATAAAACCAACTGAAAAGATTTCCTTTTGTAGTGTTATACTTTTTTAGAGTCCCATCTTTTAATTTTAACCCAGAAACCTATCAGCCCAAGTGCAAGTTGCTGATGACTGCATTCATCTAACTTACATATTTTAAAATAATAAAGACAACAGAAATATCAACAAAACCATCCTGGAATGGAATTTTTGAAGAGCTTTCCAATGGTTCCACATTAGTAAATATAAATACTTGTGGAAAAATTTAAAACACCATGCCAGCGAGAACCTGACACTTCTCAGCAGTGGAGGCGGTGGGGGCGGGTGGTGGAGAGAAGAAATAGAAGTTGCCCGGTCAGGTCTGGTTACAGTTTCCTACAACTGTACATAATGGAGCAGAGACTCAACAGCAACAGTGACTGGGGTCAAGTGTGTCCTACACAGAGGGAAGGTGGCCGGCAGGGAGGCCGTGTGTGTCCGCTGGCAACCTCTCGCTGGCTCAGCTTCCACTGTGACAGCTCCAGCCTTCAGTCCGTGGCTTTCTGCATTGTTTGCCGGTGCCCTCAGGCACAGTGTGTATACATTCAGTATCTGTCACCCCCAACAGGAACAATTAGCAGCTTAATGGTGGCATGTAAATGGCTGGTTATTTACACATAATCAATCAAATGAACCTCGGTGGGTGGGACCAGGAGATGTCTTCCTTCCAAGCCTAGGGGTGCCCTAGAGACCAGGAAAGGAAAAAAAAACGGGGTTAATAAGTGACCTCAGGCAGAGGTGTCCTCTCTAACATAGGAACTTTGTCACCATAGCTGACAACCACCTTTGAGCCAGAAGAGCATGGAGAGCTGGACCACAGAACACAGGCCCACCAGGAGGTGGCGCTCCGGAGCCAGCCGAGCTCAGCAGGACCATGTCAGCTGTCCTGGGAGAGCAACTTCCTGCTAGGAGTGGGCTCTGGGACCACAGGTTGCTCTTCACACTATCTGTATTAGGAAAAATGCCAGGAACATGGCAAAATGTATTTGTGGGTTCAGGATATGCCATTTGAGTAATTCTGCCCAGAATCAGCCATCATGTGAGGGTGTGAGAGTGTCTGTCTCCCGAGGACAAACAGGTCCAACCTCCGCTGTGCTAACCACGAGCCCCTGGCCTTCTGGAAGGGGTGAAAGTGATGGACTCACATTCCAGACTAAAACTCCCACTTTCAGAATCATCCTAAAACCTGTGCCTCCTGTCAGCTCCCAGAGAAGGGGTCCACCGGTCTGGTGGATTTCTGCCTGCTAACAAATGCCAAATGCACAACACTGACCGGAGATTGGGCTTTGGCGAAGTTGACGTGGGCATAGAGGAGAACAGCGATGTCCTTGTGCCCTGCTTCCAGAGCGATGGAGAGCGCAGTGCTGCCATCCTTAAGGTGAAAAGAACAAGCCACGTTGGATTTCTCAAATGTCCAGACAACCAAAAAGTAACAAAACAAAATACCCTCCAGTAATTGATATGTACCCCCAGATCGAGTGATTTGCTCAGTCCTTCTGGGAACTTTTCTGGACCTCTATGTGCTAAGCCCTACAGATACAAGGATGAATGAGGCACAGCCCCCACCATAAGGAAATCACAGTCAAGCGGACAATCGCCCCGTTTCCTGTCTTTGTCTCACAGAGGTTAGTGAGCAAGTCTGTGGGTCCTCAACAAATGCAGGCTGCCCGTGAAGAATTCTCACTCAACCACTGTACCCACCAAGTAAGGAACAGCAGGAGATGACGGGGATAGAAACATACTTTAGTTTTTTTCTTATAATTACAAATGAGCAGGCTTGTACCATGGTGTAGGTGTTGACATCATGCAATATGTCAAAGATCTTAATTTTCTTCCTGGGGAGAGAGCTGATCCTGTATCCTAACCACCCCTATGGAACACTTTGAGTAACATCACTGTGGAAGCACTGAGTCCTGCTGGCTTGCAGAAATGTATCGTGTGGAACTATGAGGGAAACACTAAATATGGGAAGGAAAAACTGTCAATTAAATGTTTGGTTTCCATGAAACTGTAGGGATTTAGATGGATATGAAGAAGCATCAAGGTGAAATACAATACAATTTGTTTTCTGTATAGTCCTGGAATAAGGACTCCCTTTGGGTTGCTAGCTGCAAACAATTTGCATGTGGTTTGAATGGTATGGGTCTCCCTCCCACTCTGTGAATTCTGGGAGGCCAGCTTTCTTCCGGAGGCCAGCTGCACGCCCTCCTACTCCTCTAAGGAGGAGGAAGTAGACAATTAGCTGCGGTGACTGGAAGTCACTGTGGCTCTCTGGCCTCCTCTTACTATATCCACAAGCTGTTCTTTGCTGAGAGGGTATGAGTAAAAGCCAACAAACCAACAAAAGACACATGAAACAAACTGTTCTCGAGGGAAGAAGGCTGGAAACGCTCCCTGCGCTCCGGCGTGGAGGCCATGTGGTCTGGCTGCAGCTCAGTCACTGCTGCTGTGGGAGGCCCGTCAGCCCTTCGTGCCAGGAAATACCTGCACTGAGGTGCTCTTCCTGCTGACCGGGCCCTGGGGCACCTGACCTTTACTGCGAAGGAAGATGTTTTCCTACTGACTTTTTAGTGTTTTGAGTTAAAGGACGCCCTGGTCCAAACCTGTGCTTCACAGAAATAAACTTTCAAAAACAGAACCAACCCAGCCCGACCTCTGTGACCTTTGGACTTTTCAACCCTTTCACCCCCCACGTGTTAGTTCCTGTGCCTTCCCCTACTGGTGCTGCTCCTCTTTGGCCTGCAGACATCCAGAGAAGCAGCTTCCCTTAGGATGTTTCGCAGTCAAGGGCTTGTCTGCGAATGGGGACAGCTTAGGGCCTGGGAGGAGATTAGAGCGACCGCGATGGGAACAGCCTGAGCAGGAGCGGGAAGATGTGCTTAAGGAAGCCAAGATAGTCCAGATCCTCGAGCTGATGGAACATCACTTCCATGGGCCCCAGTGAAGGGCACACCTGCCTTAATTCCACTTGCGTGGGCAAGTGCTTCACTGTAGTAATAATGGTTCTAGTGGCCCAATAACCCCAGCTTGTATGGCTCGGAATCCAGATTTCCAAATCCATCAGGGACTAGTCCTCTCAGTGGACTCAGAAGTTCTGATTCTGTACTGAAAATCTGTTTATTTCTCTTTAATATGCTGGTTCCCGTACATGCCCATCGCCTTCCTCCTGTAGTACATTGGGGATGAGCCTATTTCTCTGTCTTTGGCTGTAGTTAGTGGAGTATTAGCTGACACACAGCAAGTGCTGCCAAGCTGGGCCATGAAGCGAGGTGGCCACAGATCCCCACACAAATCCCCAAGGAGAATCGAGGAGGCCGTGATTTCTCTCCCTTGCTGAGAAGCACTCCCAGCTCCCTCCTGTGTCCCTGAGAGCGCCTGGCATGCGGGCCCAGGGGAGACAGCTTACGTTGTCCTCCAGGTGGCCGTTGCAGCCCGGCTGGGCCAGTAGCAGCTTGACGATCTCCACGTGCCCGTGCTCGCTGGCACACATCAGGGCGGTGGAGCCCTCATCGTCCTGGATGTTGACATCAGCACCACAGGCCAACAGGCCCTTCACCATGTCTATCCGCCCATGACTGACCGCCAGCATGAGGGCTGTCTGTCCTGCCTGTGGCAAAAATGACAGTGAACCTCAGAAGGACATACCGGGCTGGCAGGCTGTGGCCTAGAGTGGTGCTGTGCTGGGGGCAGGAGGGGGAGGAGGGAATGTGATGGCAGAGGGGGGAAGTGGACGTGCGGTTCACTAGGGGGCAGCTGGTGGCAGGCATGGACCAACCAGCTTCTTGTGAGCAATGAGATAAGTTGGTAAGTTAGATCACAAAGTAATGAGTCAATTTTTCCCCTTAGCTTGGAGGCTCTGCCTCAAGGAGTTAGAAAGTCAGAAGCTGGTTAACCAAGCCAAACAATGAACATTATCTGAACTATGGGCATTTAGTACCCGGTGTGAAGACACTAGTCACCTGGTAGATGCTGGGGACTCCCAGTCACTTTTATGCGGGCTGACCTATAGTGTATGTACACACTGCTCAAACAGGGGCACCATGAAGCAAAAGACAAAGAAGATTCCAATGGGAAGTATAAGCCAGCATTTCATCAGTGTGCTTGGTCATCTAGGACTGCCTGGTAAGCCACCTGGACTCCAGGCTGCGCCAGCAAGTACGTGCTCAGTGGCAGGAAATGCGGTGTGGGGACCCATGCACGTCACAGCGGCGTGAGCAAGCATGCGCGCCTGGGAAGGAAGTGTGCTCACCTGGCTGGCCTTGGCATTCACATCCCCACAGCCAAAGAGCTCTTCCACAACCCGCATGTCTTTCTCTGCTTCCACGGCGGCGAGTGCTGCCAGCATGATGGGCGTGTATCCTGCCTTGTTCTGGTGATTCACGTTACACACGTCTGCAAAGACAAGGGGTTTTTGTAGGGAGAAGCCATCTTCTAACATGAACTGAAGACAGGGTGTTTGGAAGAATCCAATGAAATGGCCCCAGGTGGTCCAAGTACATGAATGAATTGGAAAGAAATGTGAGAGGTGTTTTTATATCAAACAAAAAAATATGTATTTTTTGTATTTCATGAGGCCTGAAGCAATGGTGAGCTTTCATAGCATGTCTTGTTAGCAGCTGGTGGTTGAAGTGTACTAGCCTGGAGGTCTGGGAGGCTATTCTAAGTAATGGTTGCTGTGAAGAATAAACAATAATGTGGGAACCAGACATTAACCTGTGTTTAGGAAATCACTGTTTTGGAGTAAGGAAGTCAGTGAGAGCTGCAAGTGGGAAAGATTTGTAAAGGTTTGTGCATGGAACTCTTGAATACGGCATTACCCGCTTAAGACACCACTACTCGTTCCAGGACCCTGGGTTTACTAATCTGATTTGTTTGAGGCCCTTAGAAGCAGAATTTCAGTCACATGACACTTACTCTGGAAACTAGTCTGAGCAAACGCAGTCAAGTCCCCCAGGGAACTGCCTGGGTCTAACAGACCCTATAAACCAGACCTTGTCTGTTCCTGTAATTCCTGGGAGGTCTTCTGGGGTGAAATTATCCTGTGGCATTTTTAAATTCCTTCAGCACTTTCTAATAAAAGGAAAGGGATGGAAGGTGCAGAACAGATACTTTCATGTGTGATCAAATACAGTGAAAGTGTTTAGGATGTTCCCATCATACAGGATGAGGAGAGAAGGTACCACGAAAACCTCCCTTGGGTTCTAAAACTGCACACTGGGGACACATGGCATTTACTACACTGCCTATCTTTTAATGAAGAAAAGGAAGAAGCTGTGTGACGGAGATGCAAGTGAGCAGATGTGCTCTCTGAGGCTCCTCGCTGTCTGTGACGTTCAGTTCTCCACAGATGCCGTGTTTCTTAAGATTCACAAACACGCTTGATGGAGCCATAATCTCAGCCTATAACGGTGAGTGGTGAAACTATTAAGTAAATCCAGAAAAGTGATTAACCAAAGCAATCTAATAATGGAATTAATTAAAATCATTTCATTTACCAAAATATTTGCCCACGTGTACTTTCCAAGGACAGGTTAAATCTTTCCTTCAGGAATAATCCTGAAATCTTGTTTTTTGCTTTCCTGGGTCCTATCCACTTTTCTGTTTAAACCATAACTTGGTCTGACAGGATCACCAGCTCTGTTCACAGTCTGGAATGTCTGAAGGGAAGGAGGCTTGGAATTCCTTCCTGAAAGACGGGAGCCGTTTTATCCTAACGGGACCCCTACACTGGGAACAAGCAAACTTAGAAAAAAAATGAACAAATCTGCTTGGTTTCTCCTGTGTGTTAATCCAACACCCATAAAACAGAAGAAAAAAGTGGACTTTTGGGTCAAGGAACAGTATGAGAAACCTGGACAACTTTATAGTCATATTCTAAATCAGATGTCCACACCGTGCTTTCATTACTTAGACCAAGGCACTGTGAATTGTTATCAGTTACATACTTGAAGTAAAAATAGGTATCTCAAAAATAAATACAAATAATCTGGGAACTATGTGTATCACTGGGTGGTTCCATTTGAAGAAGTCAAAAGCTCAGTTATTTCTCAAAGGGACCCTTCTATGTAGCACTACCTCACTTCATCTTTAATACAGCCATGGGCAGTATGCTGGGATGACAAGTTCCAATTATAAACAAGAACTTCCACAATTCTCATTACTACAGTTCAGATACAAGAATAATACTTTCTTGCTTTATGCTGATTTCACCATAATTGGGTGTATTTGGCAGAAATGAGGTGACTCCACCATAATCTGTTGCAGTGCCTTTGCCTGGTCCCCACCTTGACTAACCACAGACAGTGGAACGGAGGTCGTGGGGCCAGGACAGACAGCCCATAAACACCGAAGCCGAGGCTCTGGCCCCACGAGCCACACTCTGCCTCCAGAGAGTCAGCCCGCCAGGGCTCCGTGATTCAGCTGCGGAGGGAATATGAGTTATGGTCATTCCTAGGGACACACCTCATTTGAAGGTAACTCAACTGCAGCAAGAATATCCCCCAAACCTCCTTTCAAAACAGATCTGGAATCTGTGTCACCTAGTTCTGTTGAAACATCAAGCCTCCCATGATGAGTCAAGAACGACATCCTTGCCACCTCATGTGGAAAAGCAATGGAGGATGGTTACAGAATTGAGAAGCAGATTAACCAGCTTCTTCAAGGAGTCACGACCTGAGGGCTGTTAGAGAAGACACGGGGAAAGCTGACGTACCAGCATCCAAGAGCAGCTTCACAATCTCAAAGTTGGAGTGAGACACGCTGTAGTGAAGGGCTGTGTTGCCGTTGCCATCGGCCATGTTGATGATGTGACGCAGGACGTCTGGGGAGATGGCCGCAAAGGCAGTTATGTAGTCTCCGACCATGGCTGGGATGGCCGACTTCTGGCTGGACACGCGGAACCACTCGTGCTGGAGGGTGTTCAGACAGAACCTCTGCCAAGACACCAAGCGAGTGCCATTAGTTCCTTTTTTTTTTTTAACTTTCTTTTTATTGTTTACACTATTACAGATGTCCCCACTTCCCCCGCCTTGGCCTACCTCCACCCAGCCCTGTCCCCCTACCCTCCCTGGCCACTGCCAACTATTTTCTGTGTCTATGGGTCATGTGTAAATGCTCTTTGGCTCACCCTTTCACCCTCTTTCAACCAGTCCTCCCCCACTGCCTTCCTCCTGAGTTCTTCTATTTATAGACTTTCTGAGCCTTAGCTGAAAGCCCAAGAAACCAACCCTTTTATAGTCAAAGTATATGCAGTTAGAATTGGCTTGCAGAAACAACTACCGAAACCCAGAGTGCTAAGGGAAGCCTCAAATTCCAAACTGGAACATCCTTTCTGATTTTAAAGCACACACATATTCCAACTTCTATAAAAGAGGCAATTTAAGCACTGTACAAGAGTTCAAAATCTGGCTCTGCTACTTAGGAGCTGTTTCAGACCCTGGGAAAGATAATTATTCTGTGTCTCAGTTTCCTCATCTGCAAAATGGGGACAATAAAAATAGCATTCCTTCACAGTGTTTATGGTGAGAACAAAGGAGGCAATACATGCAAAACTCTTAGGCCTGGCTCTATCACTGAATTATTAATATCATGTAGTTACATTGGCGTCGCAAATGGTTTTCATTAACTGGGACAGAAGAAATTACTTAACCCACACTTAATTTGCTGCTTCTCTCCTAATCTGACCAACCTCAACTCCTTCAACGTCTCCACAGCACTGGGCTGGGTGACCGTAAGCATGCAGCCAACTCAATTCCCACTCCAATAATAAATACAAATGTTCAGCCACAGAAAGGAGGTAAAAAGCTGATCTGAGGCAATTTGCATTTCCCAGTAGGATCACTTGTATTTGATCATCAGCCCCACTCACCTCCTTCTGGGTGTGAACACGTGAATGTGGCATGAGTTGCATGGATGATCAGGTCAAACTTGCACCACATTAAGTGCAAGGTAGATTGGGCACAGCCAGTGTTGGAGGCGGGGGTAATAACTACGATACTTTTTTTTCAGGGGCTCTCTTTCACATGAGTTTATCATTCATTTGTGCTTTGCTTGCTCTTCATAGGGTTAAAAATATATCAAAGAAAGATGGAACGCCTATGTAACCATAACCCAAGAAATCCTCTTTCTATGGAAAGGCTGGGATTGTAGAGCTTCTCCCTTTATCTTCTTGCTACTGATAATTCAGTTTTGGCCCATTCACATATTTCTGATCACTCATGAAAGAGGTCTTGCCCAAGAAAGAATTCATCCATTTTTTTTTCTTCTGCTCTCTCTCCAATATATTCAGATTTCTATTTCTTCATTCCCACATGGAAGGAAGGAAAATTACGGCATCTGGTTGTCATGACTGTTACTGCTAAATATTCAGTGTCCTATATGGGTTATATGGCCCTGACACTGTGACCATTCACGCATCCACTACTTTCCACAGCACAATACTTTCAGCACTTTTTTTCACTAAATGAATATTAATTAAACAAAAATGTACTGAACCCAGAATGTGCTTGACAATACGCTTAGCAATCTGGGGTCGTGGAAATGCCAAGTCCTCCCTGAAGACCACATAATCTAGTATTTTGAGAATGATTAAAGAAAAAGTATATTATAGCTATAAAATCTGGGGCCTGAAAGCACCAGTTTCAGTTCAGTTTAAACCTAATGGGAAATATTACCACAGCAGTCATGTTTCACAGTTTTACTGTTTGTGACCAAGGTGCAGACCAGCATTTAGTGTATCGCTGAGGGACTTGAGTGTTCCGCACGGGGTTCTATGACCCCCCAGGCCAGGAATGTTATGGAGCATTTCCTTCTGTAAACATCACTGCCACGCTCCTTTTTCAGGACACAAAACTGAATGTCAAGACTCAGCGGGTTCTGATGAATTTAAGTTTCTATAGCAACATAAACAAACATGAGATGACACTTTTTTTTTTTTAAAGACACCATATAATAAGGTAATATGATTTAGTTGGGATTAAAAGTAACAACAACAACATGGACCAGTATTCAAGACAAGTAAAATCCAATCCCAGCACTAACTGGTAGCTGACACTCTAGACAAGACTTGTGATCTGTAGGGCCTCAGTTAAAGCAGGATAAACCAGGAGAGTGTGGCCTCCCAGGCACACATGCCCATGCGCTTCTCACGCCTGTGACGGTCACCACCAATTCTTCTTCAGATTGTGTTTGTAGTACAAGAGGAAAACTAGTTGCCTTTTCAGCGTTAGATAGTTCCTTAAATCCCGTCTTGCTATAACATTTTGGTTTTATAACTCTATCATATTGTGAACCTTACAAATCAACTTTCTTACTAGCTGCCAACTAAAGTTAACCAGTGTAAAGCTTCATATTAAATCTACTGCTAAAACGCAGATTCAAATGCACATTACTATCTAAAATAACACAAAAAACTACATTTTCTCAATGCACTGAATAGAGCTGCCAACCAGAGGGTTGGTCTGACCTACGAAAGAAGCCACACATCACAGGCAAACTTCTCCAATGCACGAGAGAGTGACAGACTTGGCAATGGGCCAGCCTCGCCACTGCCACAGAAATGTTTCTCTGTCCTGTGTTGTGCCATCACCCTTACTATGGCAACCATCAACCTCTTTGCTATTTGCTTCTGAATCTCTCAAACTGTGAGAAGATGGCAAGTGCATTTATTTCTAGGTTTCAAAATAGTGGCAGCCTGCATTCCACATCAGAACATAATATGCAGTTTCCTAATTAGAAGGAATGTTGACGATGGCCCAAATAGGTTTAAAAACAACAACAACATATGCTAACTTAAAAAATAAAATTCTGGGATTCTGCTCCCGGGATCACAAGGTTTTGTAAGTAGAAGCAGAACACACGGAAAGGCGAGGACTGCCTGCCAGTTAGCCCTCCCTGCCATGTGCAAGTATATGCTTCACAGATGCACCACCCCCGAGAAAAGTACAGGGTAGAGAAGATCTGAGGCTGGGCTCAGGGAAAGGTTCACAGTGTGGCCCAGTGAGCAGGGTGGCAAGATGCTCACTCTGCCCACACATTCTAGAAATAGTCTGGAGGAAAGCATGCCCGCAATAGCAGGCCAGGGGACGGCCACAGCTGCCTGGACAATGGCGTCCCCTTGGGCACTTCTGCAGACAGGGGACAGCACTGTAGGTCAGACTCACCATATCCTTGCTGGTCAAAGCTTTGGGGTCATTTATGTTATTTTTCAGTACGTGGCATGCAGACAACATCTTTTCACTTAACTCATACCTGCAAGGGGGGAAGAAACAAAAGAAAGCAGCTCATGATTGGCCGCAAAAGGAAAGGCATTTTTTCCTCAAACTCCAGAACGCAATGAAAGACAAGAGGCCCCAGGCCAAGCCGAGGGCAGTCCAGGTGTCCCGAGGCAGCCAAGGGCTGATGCTATCACACAGAGCTAACCCTTCCTTTGCAGGAGGGTAGCTTTTGGCTTCACTAGTTTGACCTTTATGACATTATGATGGAGTAACATTTGGAGATTTTTTCATTCCTTTTGTTCTAAGTTCTTAAACGTATTTTTTATTCTTAAGTGGTTGAAGAGGTCAGAATTACCACATTCCCGCTCTGCTGCTCAGGAGCCACATATTTGAACTCACATTTGGTGGCTCAGGAAGTGTTTGTTGAACCCACATGAAAATATAAACTTAAAAATCAGATGACATATGATATAGAAATTATACTCAATAAAGCTGTTAAAAAAAGATGACAAGACATTGAGCCATTTGAAAATACTTGGACATATAAACTAAAAATACTTACCTTGTGTTAATGCAGTTAAACTTTCATTTAACCAATTAAAGAGTTAAGTGTTCCGAAATGTTGTATTTATTTCTCACATAGTGAAAAGCCATACTGAAATTTCCATCTGTCCGTTCTTTCCTGTTTTATAAGCACTGATTCTATATTTACTAATAGTCTTTAAAGTTTACTACATTTTTTGGTACCCGTTTCAGCCAACCAGTTTTTATTTGATATTTCAGCTGCTGTTTATGAAATTCCCAAATCCTTTCTTGTAGTGTTCCCAATTGCTCAATGAGCAACAAAAAAGAGGCGTGTGATGGATTACATCATCTTTATGGCCAATGTGATCTTTGGCTGAGGCCAAAAAACTGTCCCTCTCACACCCAATGGCCCTGTAATACCAGTACTGACAAACTGTACCAAGATAAATGACTAATGGTAAAATCTAAAACCTCAAAAGAAATGTGCTGATCACCAAAAATTCTAACATGCTTTTAAATACAAGGTGAGTTGTTCAAATAATGGAAACTTCAGTGGTGCTTAATAGGTCTGCGGATGGTGGCCCAACGCCTACAATTAGATAACATAAATAGTTAAAGGAAATAAAGGTGACCAAATATATCAAGGTTTTCTCTTTGCTACTGCAAGAGATGTAAGAGTTATCAACTTCTTCTGCACTTGTACTTATTAGTATCACGACAAGATGTATGTGTATCTGAGGAACAGATAAAGTTTAGCTTTCCTTTGGAGACTGGAAAGACCAAACAAATGCATACAACTGCAAAATCAGGATCCTAACTGGCCAATTCTACTGCCAAAGTACATTAAACGTAGAAGGGGTTAGGGGAGGGGAGGGGAATGTACCACACCTCTCTCTGATTTCCACCTTCTCAGGTTCACATTCTTGAACCTGCATTTCATCTTCCACCCTGGCAGACTTGCAACCTTCCATATTAACTGCATGGTGCCCTTCCGCCATTCCCCGACTGTCTTCGTCCTCCTCTTCCTCCTCTTCTTCAGGAGGATACTCAATGACATCACACTCGTCATCTGACTCGGAAGAAGAGCTTTCATCTGAGCTGGAATCATCACTTGAAGTTGTTTCATACCTAGGTGGCAATTGGGAGTTCAGGAGATGCAAGGTATGCCCATAAAGACCCAGCGACAGAAATTTCTATGAAGAGAAAGCTGCGGACTGACTGCAGAAATTTCACCAGTATTTTTAGACTGTGCACTGAGATGTTCAAAGTAAGGTCTATTTAAAAGCCTGGTGGTTTTGAATGGGTTCTGATTTGAGAGGGAACGTGGGGTGCCAACTGGGATCATATACCACTTGCAGAAAAAAAATACTACATATAGAGAGAGCACCTCTAGTTTAGTATAAATCAAAGGAAATTTATCTTAGTAAAACCAGGTCCACAGTTGTTCATTTCTTTCTGTTCCTTCTCCCCCCTCTTTTATTTTTCCTTTTTGCTCCATTAATCTCCCAGTGTCAAGGTAAACAGATTACACAATAACCAACAGTTTCTCTAGTGTACGTCCTCCAAAACCTCCTGGGCTGCATCACCCAATAAAATTTCAGACTGGGAAAACAGCTACCATGAAGTTAAATCTTTGTGATGCACTTTACTATAAATATTATCTCAAATAACTTTGCACTATTGCTTTCTTCTCGAGACTAAGTACCGATTAATAGATTAATTGGCTTTGATTTAATTACCAGAGGACGAGCAGGCTTAGCTATTTACCTGTGGCAATTAGAAGAGAAGGAATAAATAGCTAATAAACATTCTACTTGGAAAGCGAAGAACTGATGGCAGGGCCAGGCTGCTCTTCGGGAAAAGGCCCTACAATTTTGTTTGTAAACATGGAGAGCCAAGCAACACAACCCGTTCTGAAGGAGTGAGTGACTATCACTGGCCATGGAGTGACGCTCTCAGTCTCTTTCTGTTTGTTTCTGAGTTCTCACACAGGTAAGTACAAGGTGTCCAATAGTGCAGGAAACCTGCTGCTTTAGATGAAGACTATTTTTTTCAGATCAGAGATGAGATGTAAATGGCTCATCTTCTTCAGTATCCTTTCAAGAGTGACATATCCTTAAAGATAGCAAGAAGAGGAGAGGAGAGAAGCCCAAATGCACCTTTCTGAGGAGGGAATCTTCCATCACCAAGATGTGGCAGCATCCCAGGCTAGGCATCTTTAAATATAACTTGAGTAGGCAGAAGGCAAAGGAGACAGACAGACCATGTGTAAACGCTAGCACCACCATCTTGTCCTTACCCTCCATTAATGCCAACAAACTGAAGATTCTTTTTCGCTCCATTTGAATCTTTGTTACCGTCTTTCTTCTTCATGATGGACTTCAGCGTACTTTCACTATTTGTACATACTGTGGTAAAGTAAATCAAGGTGATCAAAATTAATATAACTCATATCCATACAAGTGAACAGGTAATCTTTCTTCATGTACATTTATTATTTTCCCTAATTCATGTAAATATACATCTTGATATGCATATATAAGAAACCTCTACAAAATCATTGGAAACTTGTGTGCATGCAAAGAAAATAATTCCAAGTTCCATTAATAACATTCTTTATGGAAAAGACAAACCATTAGTACTTTCGAACATAGCAAAAGTAGTGACAACTAGCATTTGTATCAGATTTTACTGTATATAAAGGGATGTCTTATCTCATTTAATCTTAAAAGACCACTTAGGCATTAAAATAAGGATTATTGTTGTTTTTCTTCCATTGAAATAACCTGGAAACAATTTATGCCTTCTGGACTGTGAAAGAATGAAATGCTGTTTAAAATATTTCGTAATTCAGAAAAATCAGGTGAGTGTTCTTCAGAGTATCACAGCTCTTTCTTTAGTAACCGTACAACTATTCTAGGCCTGCCTTCCCAACAACCGCATAGCGCTCTTCTCGGTCAGTGTATAAGGGCACTGACGTGAGACTGGAATGTTGGCAGTGCTGGCCCTGGAATCCTGACACTGAGAAGGACTGTGGGGGAGCAGTTACCGTAGAGGCCAGCAGCTATCTGGTCATCTGTCAGGTTCACCGGAGACAGCGTGCTTTCCTGAGAGGGGAAGGAATCCTGGCTGCCGATGGGCTCCGCTTCTGTGAACCCCACCTCTCGCCCTTGTCGGGATGTCTGAGCATTTAATGGTCCTCCGGACTGTAGGCCTCTGTACTTACAGGCATATTCCAAATTATTTCCTGTCAAAAAGGAGAAAGGTGTAGAAGTGTGTGATGCTGGAACCAAACAAAATGGGCTAAATGGTAAAAAAAAAGAAAAAAAAGAAAAAAAAAGAAAAAAAAGAATTCTTGCAACTCATCATTTTCTCAAGTGCTTTCCCCCACTATTTCTTTCTGCACAAACGGAACTGCTCTCCAAGCCACCCAAACTCAAACCCCCAAAGGCCTTCTTGACTTTCAATCTTTTCCTTTATCGCCATATCCGGATCTGCCAAAGCCTGTCATTCTCTCTGTTCTGGCTGCTACACCTAGCCTTACTCTGCGCCAGCAGCGTAGCATCCTGACTGTCCCGCTTCCTCCCACTCTCCCCTCCCTGTGCACTGCTGCAGAGAGCTGCCGCTCGGCTCCAATCCCGCCCTTACTCCAGCTACGACAAAGCCTAAAGAGCTCCCACCACTCAGGAAACAGTCCACACTGCTTAGCCAGATATTCCAGATCGTTGCATCCTGGCACCAGCTTACCCCTCCAAGTTTATTTCCCTCTACACCTGTGGTCCTTTTTGGGATGGGGCCTGCATCCCAATAGATGGAACTACTGCCGATATGCTCTTCTCTACCTGGCCGTGCTCCTTCTTCCCCACCTCCATGTGGCCAAACCCTCCAGTCACTTCCTCTTCTGAGCCTTCCCTCACCTCCCTAACCGAAACTTACTTGCCTTTCTCTGAAATCTCACAGCCCATCTTTCCTACCTTCTGACCAGATCAACAAAACCAGGTACTGATGAATTGTCTAACTGTGTTAGAACTCCCTTCTAGTCTGTAAATATTTTAAGGGCATTAAACAGTTTTAATCAACTTTGTTTCTCTCATCACGTCTATTAGATTGCTTTTGCATGTTAGGTACTTTATATCTGAAGCTGAACAACTGGATGAAATATTATGCAATTAATGTATATAGATATATCACAGAATTTTCAATATGGCTGACGTGGAAAAATGTTTATAATATATGGTTCAATGAGAAAAGCAGATATTAAAATTCTCTGTATAGTATAATCCTATATGTTAAAACATATCAATATATTTACACACCAAAGTAGAAAAGTTATCTGAAAGCTATGGGGATTTTAACTTTTCCCTGTATTTGCCATTTTTTTTTCCTACAGTGAATATTGATTCACTGTGTTCAAAATCACTTTTATAAAATGAATTAAAAATTCTTTTACTTAGCAATTTGATTTCTAGAAACTTTATCCTGAGGATATACAAAAAATATAGAAAAATGTTCATTATTTCCATGGGTAAAACAATAAAAAGAGGCGGGTATCAGAGAGTACCAGTAAGAAACTAGTGAAATAAGCTCTGGTACATTTATATAAAGGAACCCCAGGCAGCCATTCAAAATGTTGATGTGCGTAGACATTTATTAACAAAGAATGATGAGCATAACTTGTGAATTTTAAAAATAGGTTATAAAATAATATAGAGAAAATAAACCTATTTTGGTAAATAATTACATTTATATGTATTCATATGAGAAAAAGTCTGGGAGGATGTGCAACAAACCTGTTTAACACTGCTTTTGTAAGGCTAAAGAATTACAGGTTTTTGTAGTTTTTTCTTCTTTGTATCTCTATATTTTCTAAATTATGTATTATATACATAAGTCACTAACACAGACACAAAACTAAATGTTACCCATAATAATGTCATATGATGAGAATTAAATCACAACATTCTTTTAAAGAAAATCTTTGAAATTCCTTAAATACTTAGAAGAAATTTAAGTACTGACTGCATTTCAAGGCAATCAGAAGAAAAAGAACTGTGATAGCCTATAAAACTGTTCTCTTCAAACTATATTGTTCACAGACTCTTCCAGGGTGTGTGTTAAAATGCAGGTTCCCAGGCACTTGCCAGGAAATCATTCTGCAGATCTGGGCATTTCTGACACCCTCCACTGACCCACTCACAAGAGACTTTGATGCATATGTTCCACTTTGGAAACTACTAGTTTAAAACAATGATACTGTGATTTTAAAAAGGCGGTACAGGGAAGAAGAATATTCAATATGAGGGATTAGAAATCATCTAAATTTTAATTCTTGTCTTTTCAAGCTAAGAATTCTTAAGGCCAGGGAGGTTTAGTGACTTGCCGGAGGCCACAGAGCAACACTCGACTCAGATTTTGTAACTCTGTGAACAGCACTGTGCCCATGAGCCACCAGCACAGCGCTCCCTCCTCTGCCTCTGAAGGCACGGGAGCATCCCGGTGATTCCTTCACAGATGCACCTCCCTCTGCAACACACACACTATACTGACTGCAGCTCTCCAAAGAGCATTTATTGCCCCATGACCTGATGTGTCTGTCCCCCAATGGCAAATATAAGCCTTCTAAAATGCCCTTGACTTATGTTAAGCAAAATAAACAAAAGAGTGTTTATCTTCATTCCTCCTCTAAGTACATTCATCATTATTTTGAAATTACTACAGTAACCGCTAAAAAGTCTCAGTAGTTAATCCTCAGGGCCAGTACAGCCTAGAGAAACACCTTCACTAAGCATGTTTGCATTCAAAAACAATGATTTTTAAAGTGCAAGTACATTAATAGCTTTTATTATTGAAATCTTAAACATATACAAAAGTAGACAATAGTATAAGAAATCCCTGTGTTCATTCAGTGCTGGAGCAGCAGCTGGAAAGGCACCAGGGACACGCAGGGGGAAACTGAATTGTCTGACTTGGGCGTGGGGAGGGTTGGAAGGACAGCTTTTTCCCAGACAGAACTGCACCATATCTGAGCCTCCATTAACCTGGCTAACACTGTTAACCTCGTCCTGGTGGTTCCTGAGACCCTGTCCCACTCAACTTGTAGGCCTACCCAGCCAATTCCAGCGGCTTTTCCATGCAAATGGCCTATGGTTTATGTGTCGCAGACTTTCCTAAAATCTCTCAAAGCTTCTCAAATGCCAAACAAATAGCACCTGGCCTCCAAGTCTAATTTATATACAATAAAATGAAAAGATTTTAAGTGCAGAGTTGCTGAGTTTTGGCAAATACCTGTGTGACCACCTCCCTAATTAAGATACAGAACATTTCCAACAATCCAATAAATCCATGTTCCCCGCCAGCAGATCCTTCCAGATCATCTGCCCAACCAGAGGCAACCACTTCTCTTCACCACCATAGCTCGCTTTTGTAAACTAGGGCTTTGTAAAGCTTCTCCAATCAAGGTCCAACCCCTAAGGCAGGCATCTGAGGGTCCTTCTTGATGATTGTGGATAGATTCTTCTTGCCTGTGGGATTTTTTTTCCTGCTCAGCCACTACCGTCCACTCATTAAGTGGTCTGGTGATATAATCACTCCCACTTTGGTGCCCTTCATTATTAGATTGTTCTACAGGCCTAGCATTTCAGCTGCCTTTGCCAGTTAAATTCCACCCACACTAATCAAGACCTTGGCGCCAATTCTCTGTCCTCTATAGATTTTTCCTTATGACACGATTCCACTGAGATCTCTTTCATTCCCTTCATTGTCCTGACCCAAGTATTATACCCTACGCTCTTCTACGTGAGTCCCCTCCCTGAGGATGTAAGCTCCTTGAGTCCCTTCATGCCATGTTCTTCCCTAGTGTCCTCTTCACGGCTCAGACCAACACTAGACAATGGAAAGCCCTTAATAAGTGCCTACGTAATTACACTAGAAGTCACAGGGATCCTGTTTAGGCTAACCAGCAAGGCAAAGAACAACATAAAATGTTAAACTATTCTCATTCACTAAAATCAGATGGCATTTGTCACCTTTATTGCCAGAAAATGTTTTTCAGACAGTACTGAAACTCTGGCTGGTCTTAAATGGCCCATAAACCATGGTGTGAACTCGGTAAGACCCACCGTAGTTACAGGGCACACGTGAGATGACACATGCGCTAGCACAGACTGATGCATTGACTGTTATGTCTCTGTGAGGCACAGGGAAAGTACAGCCAAGAAAGCCAGAAATAAAGCAGGCACGCAAATTCATTGGTCTCGACCTCGGCCACTCTTTAAAATCACCTGAGTTGGAGGTGGAGCTTTTAAAAACACAGATGTAACGAACTATCTGCAAGTGGGACCAAATATTAGTTACTGTGGGTTTTTTTGTTTTTTTTTTAGTATCTCCCCAAATGATTCTAATGAGCTCCCAGGACTGAGAACCACTGAATTAAAGTAACCGGTATAAAAATAAAAGGTGATTGCTGGTTTCAGTCCATCAACATGGATCACGTGAATTTTTAGAAATTACTGATAATTTAGTTACCAGGCCCATGACAAACAGTAAATACTGCTCAAATGATACAGGTGAAACAACAGGAATACCATGAACTGCCTTCAGAATCCTGGCAGGCTGGCCTCCGTGCTCAAGACTCCCACCAGGTGGCACTGGTTTTCCCAAACGCCACTGGAGAGTCAGCAACTGGAGCGGGCAACTGTGTGGTCTTGTCAAGAACTCAAAATTGCCATAAATGCTACTCATGCAGGAGACTCATTTTGTGTCTTGATCAGATTAGTGATGACCGAAGGACAGCAACAGAGATCTCAGTGTTCTGGAGAATAAGAACATCTTCGAAGCCTTCATTCTAATTCTCAACTATACTTAGTGATTAATATATGGATAATGATAATAGCTAAGGTAAACTATAATGAAAAAAAAGTAACTTGAAAACATTTTAAAATTCCTTTAAACATATTAAAAGCAAATGATTTGATAAGAATATAATTCAATGAAAAATAGAACTAGGGGAGTTTTAAAGAGATCACCTTCTACAGTTTCCTGAGATGTATATTCATCTACAATGGGTATTAGTTGTTGGAATACAGCAATGTGTTCCTAAGTTTGTTAAAAAGCTATTAAAATAGATTTTGAAAGTTGCTACATTCACACATTCCAACTCTTCTGGCATGCTAACTCATATTTTTATTTATAATGTCAAGTGCTTTCTGAAAACCCAATTAGGAGCAGTGTGGTCAGCTAATTAACCAT